ATTCTTCCTTTTGTAAGGAGGGATCTATCAGCGCTGATAAATCATTCCCAGGATCCTTAATTATCATTACTTTCGAAAGTCATTCAAAACAGTGTGTAAAAGCTTCAAATTTCAATATCTCCCATTTAAAGCCACAGTGAGGCCTTTAAATTAAGAGTTTAGGATCTAATTAAGTAATCTCTACTATTAGTGATACTAACAACTTCTGACTAATTGCAGTTTGATATTGTGAATTCGTAAATTCAAAACTGCTGCTGATATTATAGATTTACTAACAGGTAATCTCACCATAAGTGTGTTGTTTAATCTTCAATAATATATATTACAATAGGAAAATAGGTCAATTTTGCATGTTAGATGAAAAGTGATCACTATCAATAATTATAAATAGGTTTTGGGAAATCCTGTGTATGAATATTTTTGTTTTGTCCTCACCCTATCCTTCCCAGCATATACTGGGTGGCGCCCAAAATTTACCCATTTGTGAAATTGCATGAAATAATTTCTTTCCCAACTTCTTGTGAACCCACACCAGTGCTCTACCACATTTTGACTGCTGGGTTGTGAGACCTTGATTTCTCTTATGTGAAATTACGTCACAATCATATCATACTGCTTTATTGATGTGTCCGATGGACAGGAAAATCTGAAAAGATTATTGTCAAGAAAAACATTTCACACCTCATTTGAAGTTGCTTGATGAAAGACAAGTCCCTCAGAATTATTTCAATCACTGCAAGACGCTCTTAAGAGTGAAAATAAAACCCCTTCGCTAGGCAGGTGAGCTTGGTCCATATCTATTATAACTGTGGTTTATAGATTGTTTTTCCATCATTTTGATAGACTCTCAATAGAAATCACATTCATTTGAATCTCAGTTGCAATGCGTAGATCTTATTGTATGAGGCTTTCAACACATGTAGACAGCTGGCGTGAGTTCTAGTACCTTGGTGCTCCGCGGAGTCCGCTAGAATTGTGGAAGGGTGCCCAGTTAGTGCCCCGTTCTTGCAGTAGCTTATCTTTCTTAGGGCATGATTACGAGTGAATATCTCTCTAAATGGGAAAACCTGATGGGAAGCGGCCGGTAACCCTCTAGCAATCTTGGGTGGTTGGTTCGGAGTACCAGACTAGCTGAGAAATCTTCATTGAAGACATGACATTTAATTTTGTACTAGATCTCTGAACACTTCTCTCAAACATCAATTAAAATACACAACTTCTTGTTTCCACCTCAGGTGATTTTTGTCAAGACCCTTTCGGTCCTGAGACTCATAAAATTATAGATGAAGGTACCCAAAATTCTACTTTTAAGCTAGGTAATATGCTATCCTAGCATGTATTCACTTTATATGAAAGTTGTTAAATTTGGGTGGATTCATAGAGTAATGCAATCATCTGATGAGATACCTGGCTCAACAATATTTGGGGATGTTTTTCTCACGGCCCATAATGACAACTTCACATTATTCTTCGAGTTTATTTAGTGATATATCCATTCGTATTCTTCTGTATAGATATCAATATGTATATAGTACTTTATGTTCTCTGCTGTAAATATCTTCTTGAAGTCTGAAGTGCTCCTACCATGCTAACTATAGATATTGTATGAATTTGATTTTGATGAGAACTAATACAGAGTGACCATCATAATTTTGTGAAGTTGAATAACTATGCGGGATGTTACATTCTCAAGATTGATTCCTACTCCTTATATTTTGAATATTTTATGTTCCAAATTGATTCCGGTTCCTGATATTGTGACGGTGAGTGATACTGGGTGAAGTTGAACACCTAATTTTCAAGGTTCTCACATTTTCAAATTGATTTCTTTCTACTGCTTATATTTTGGTGAGCCTGAATATTTCTCATGTAGGGCATATTTTCAATATTTCTTTCTACATCTATTACTTTGATGTGAGCTAATACAGGGTGGTAATCATAATTTTGTGAGATTGAATAATTGTGTGAAATATTGCAATTTCCAATTGATATCTACTACTGACATTTTGATGAGAAGTAATACAGAGTGGTCATCATATCGTGTAGAGTTGAATAATCAAAGAGTTCCCAATTGCTGCAAGAACATATTCTTTTTGAAAAAGGACTTCGACTCATTTTTTTTTTGGTTGGAGAGTATCTGATAAGCTCATTGATCAAATATCATTCATGAGTTATGCTATAAGGGTTGGTAATATACTGGACTCTATTAAATTCATGTACAGGGTGGGCAACTTTAGTTCATTTTGAATTATACTATCCAGTTTTTTTTTCATGGGTTTGGGGCAACTATTACAAATGGAAATACTCAGTTATCACCATTTTTTGATGAATTATACAGCGTGAGCCACTTTAGTTCATTTTGAATTTAACTATCCAGTTTATTTTCCATGGGTTTGGAGCAACCATCAAAAATGGAAATACTTAGTTATCACCATTCTTTGAGAATTATACAGGGTAAATCCTTGGGGTTTTAACTTAGTGAGAACTTGGCAATTTTTATCATTATTTCTTTTTTATTTATTCATTGGGTGGGGGTATTCCTCGATGCAGATGATGCATTTTTGACGGGGTATATTTCCTATTAGGGTTCTCATTTTGGGTTTACAAATCTGCCCTCCTGTTTCGATCAGATCATAGAAGGCATGGTACGCAGGTGGATCTTTCTGGACCATGAAGCAATGTTACACCAACAACTTGCTGCCTGACATGGACTGACACGCAAGTACAGGGGGAAAAATTTTACACTTGGGATTTTACTTGTTATAAGCGGATTAATTGTGTACTTTGTGCTCTCATTATTAAGTAATTTATGACATTATTGGGTACGACGGAAGTTAATACTAATATTTTCAGTTTCCCAATTATTATGTCAACTCCACATTTGGGGTAACCTGCGCCTGCGCTTAAGCTTAAGCTCTGGTTTTCAAGATCTAAAGAGTTGGTCGCCATTATTTAATTTCCGTCCCCACTCATAAGAGGACCTTTCAAGTTATAACTATCCTATTCGGAAATAATGAGACTTCCATGCTAGTCAGGGATCTCTTTCAAAAGTTAACATAGTTACTGGCTCATTTGTATTTATTTCATAGTCCATGGATATCAACCTGCAATAATTACTGTATTTAGTTGCATATCCAAGAATTCTTTCCCATTTAATAGATTACAACTGACAATTGGGTTTTATTAGTTGAATCTTTTTGACATATTAGAAGGTTTGACAAGTTGAGGATACATTTAGGTACTCGAATATAGGCGAGTGTGTCTGGAGCCCTTTTCATCTTATCATCAGAGATACCGGTCTCTGTGATTACCCACTCACACCTCCACTTAAGTTAGCCTGCCTGGTTATAAAAGTATTCCTCGATTGCATTCATCGTGCACTCATCAGATTGGTATTTCACAAAATCATCACGAGAAGGATCTTATCGCAATGAATTTGAAAGATAACAATCAATTACAAGGATTATAATCTGTTGAAACATAAGAAGATATGACTACCAATAGGCAATAACTTAAAATAGTGCATGACATGAAACTAAGATACATTTCTTCCGAAAGATATTGAAAATTCTTCAGATAATGTTCTTTTATTTTCAATCGACACAACAAAATTGCAATCATGATCCAGCTTACAATCAGGACTTTGATTCGTTCTTTGCTCTCAAGAATTTATTTAATAAAATGTTTTTCTTCTATGATACATTGGACTATTGAGAGAGAGTTTCCTCCGACTTTCAGCTCGAATTCTAGGACTCTTGAGCATTGAATGACAATATTTTCTTTCAGTTTTCCGATATATCAGGTTCTCTTCGTTCTGAAATGAAGTTCATTCCTTTCTACTTCATTTCCTACAATCCTCAATCAGATGCACTGCTCACAATGTCAATTCTTGTCACCTCATTATGGGCACTTTTATTTGTCTACTCAAATCCATACTAATTGATTCATGGATATTGACACTCAGTCTCTATGAACGATATTGTGGAGTTCAAGTATCTGTCAAACTGAATGAGGTAAAGGTCCTTCTGCTCTTCTTTGGATCTGACCAAAAATTGTATAATATGTATTACTGAAAATTTTACAATTACCCATAGGGATACTTCTTCGTTGGAAATTATATATAATCATGTTGTTTGTTTGTAACAAAATGATAACGTCCATTGAATCTGGAATCTTCTCGTCCAAACTTGACGAGAAATTCATCTACACTTTTTCATCAATATTTTGAAGAGCACATCACCTACTTTCAGTTATACCTCTATTGATGGCTTATTATCCTGAAGCGCTTTGCGATTTAAGAATCAAATTCTCCACGAAATACAGAATGTCTTCATTCTGTTCCCATTAAGGATACCTTGAGGAACAATTTGAAAGAAGTCACATACTTTCTCCACGAGAAGGAATTTGGCTCCAATGTTGTATGCTGTGATCCTGACATAATTATTGAAGTAGTCTCAACTGACACTCATAACGAATGGCGATAATGTCTTACGTTCAAAATTCACCAATTGAGAGGTGTAATGCGTAACAGTTACTTCTCATTTATTCAATTACACCTCATTCATCGTACCTCAACATCGCTGCTCAATCAAAGAATTCTTGAGTATTGAGTCCAAGCCAACAATGTGTTTCGTTCTCTTCGTATCATGTGAATGTTTAGTCATTTCAATGCAGCTCTGACAATTTTCTAGAGTGTACTAGAGTTCATGATGTGATGTTCGAATGATTTATAATATTTTAAGCTATATCAATTCATATCCAGCGGGATTGACACATTTCTTACAGTGGCTCAACAAAATAAGGAATAACGTCTTGAATTCATTATGCAATTCCATTCGAATGAGAGGAAAATTTTATTTAAATGATAGTCGATGATAATAACCCAATCAATGTAAACATTGTGTCTCTGAGGATGTCTATGAAAGGACTCTTTTCTCCCAATGTAAGGCTAGGATTTTCAGTTTTTTGATGCTATTATATAACTGACTCCGATTACTCACCATCGATATCCAAAGTTCCTTCACTAGGAAGGCTGTATCTATCTGGCAAATCACTACCATACAAAATATGTCTATCTTTGAACCAACGGATTCTTGGAAGTTTTCCCTCTGGATTCGAGGCTTTGCAATGTAAAGTTACCATACTATGCAGTGGTAAAGTCTGGTTAGCTGGCCCAATCTGAATTATAGGTGGTGGATGATCAGCTACTGATGTAACCTGGAAAATCAATGAATAATCGATAGGAACAATGAAATGTAGTATAATAGTCATCGGTCATCGGTCATCGGTCATCGGTCATCGGTCATCGGTCATCGGTCATCGGTCATCGGTCATCGGTCATCGGTCATCGGTCATCGGTCATCGGTCATCGGTCATCGGTCATCGGTCATCGGTCATCGGTCATCGGTCATCGGTCATCGGTCATCGGTCATCGGTCATCGGTCATCGGTCATCGGTCATCGGTCATCGGTCATCGGTCATCGGTCATCGGTCATCGGTCATCGGTCATCGGTCATCGGTCATCGGTCATCGGTCATCGGTCATCGGTCATCGGTCATCGGTCATCGGTCATCGGTCATCGGTCATCGGTCATCGGTCATCGGTCATCGGTCATCGGTCATCGGTCATCGGTCATCGGTCATCGGTCATCGGTCATCGGTCATCGGTCATCGGTCATCGGTCATCGGTCATCGGTCATCGGTCATCGGTCATCGGTCATCGGTCATCGGTCATCGGTCATCGGTCATCGGTCATCGGTCATCGGTCATCGGTCATCGGTCATCGGTCATCGGTCATCGGTCATCGGTCATCGGTCATCGGTCATCGGTCATCGGTCATCGGTCATCGGTCATCGGTCATCGGTCATCGGTCATCGGTCATCGGTCATCGGTCATCGGTCATCGGTCATCGGTCATCGGTCATCGGTCATCGGTCATCGGTCATCGGTCATCGGTCATCGGTCATCGGTCATCGGTCATCGGTCATCGGTCATCGGTCATCGGTCATCGGTCATCGGTCATCGGTCATCGGTCATCGGTCATCGGTCATCGGTCATCGGTCATCGGTCATCGGTCATCGGTCATCGGTCATCGGTCATCGGTCATCGGTCATCGGTCATCGGTCATCGGTCATCGGTCATCGGTCATCGGTCATCGGTCATCGGTCATCGGTCATCGGTCATCGGTCATCGGTCATCGGTCATCGGTCATCGGTCATCGGTCATCGGTCATCGGTCATCGGTCATCGGTCATCGGTCATCGGTCATCGGTCATCGGTCATCGGTCATCGGTCATCGGTCATCGGTCATCGGTCATCGGTCATCGGTCATCGGTCATCGGTCATCGGTCATCGGTCATCGGTCATCGGTCATCGGTCATCGGTCATCGGTCATCGGTCATCGGTCATCGGTCATCGGTCATCGGTCATCGGTCATCGGTCATCGGTCATCGGTCATCGGTCATCGGTCATCGGTCATCGGTCATCGGTCATCGGTCATCGGTCATCGGTCATCGGTCATCGGTCATCGGTCATCGGTCATCGGTCATCGGTCATCGGTCATCGGTCATCGGTCATCGGTCATCGGTCATCGGTCATCGGTCATCGGTCATCGGTCATCGGTCATCGGTCATCGGTCATCGGTCATCGGTCATCGGTCATCGGTCATCGGTCATCGGTCATCGGTCATCGGTCATCGGTCATCGGTCATCGGTCATCGGTCATCGGTCATCGGTCATCGGTCATCGGTCATCGGTCATCGGTCATCGGTCATCGGTCATCGGTCATCGGTCATCGGTCATCGGTCATCGGTCATCGGTCATCGGTCATCGGTCATCGGTCATCGGTCATCGGTCATCGGTCATCGGTCATCGGTCATCGGTCATCGGTCATCGGTCATCGGTCATCGGTCATCGGTCATCGGTCATCGGTCATCGGTCATCGGTCATCGGTCATCGGTCATCGGTCATCGGTCATCGGTCATCGGTCATCGGTCATCGGTCATCGGTCATCGGTCATCGGTCATCGGTCATCGGTATCGTCATCGTTATCGTCATTGAACACACCTGAAGAAATGCTCTGACACTATTCGATCCAGCAACACTCAAAGCGTTACAAACTAACCAGCCAGCATCTTCCCTCTGAACGCCCTGTATCCTCAGCGTCCCGTGAGCGTTGACGTGCATATGCCCATTGGAATTATCAGAGAACATCAAGATCTGAGATCCTTCTTTGCTCCAGAAGACTGAAGGTGGTGGATGACCAGTAGCAGAACATTGTAACTCGACGACTCCATTGAGGCTCACTTCTTGGTCTCGAGGGCGCTCAATGAAAGTTGGTGGTGCTTGAATCAGGAGGATTATCAATAGAAATCATCATTATGGAATTGAACTATAAACTGTTCCACATTCCGAGTGTGGCAATCAACAGTTTCCATCATTTTCGAATCGTCTTAATCTTGGATTGTATCAACCAATTTTTTTTTCGAGTTTCTCATAGCTCGTTTTATTGAGAATCACCTTTTTTTTGTCATTCCACCTTTCCGAAATAATGATATCGAGAAATGTGATGATTTCTGAAAAGTTGTAGTTTGCCTCGTTGTACAGGTTTTTTTTCAAATCTTCTATTGAATGAAATGAAACATAATGAGTTTTTCGTTAATGATTCCAAATCCAGGATTATTCAAAGAGGATTTTTTCACATATGGAATATTCCGCAATAAATCACATTCTGATAATTATGTTCAACAATCATGAACTCAACATCAACAAGAATTCTGGATCAGCATATCGTCAACACTATCACTGGATAATGTGTTGTTCATCTACTATTAGGAAGTCTAGGTATGAAAATAAATGAGAATACTACTGGAGAAAATGCAGATAATGATGAGCACAATATTTCTGATAAAAAAGTGGAATCCACATTGTTATGCAAACACAAGTATGAAAGATTTTATTGTCAATTGCCAATATTTCGTTTCACATCCTCCATCGGCAACAAGAGCTCTCAGTCTTTTTGGCATATCGGTTGTCAAACTATTGAATAGATCTTGTGAAATAGCAGCCCACTCTTCCACTATCGCTGCCTGTAATTGGTCATGGTTCATCATTTCTCCATTTATTCTCATCTAATTCTATTTCAACCTATATCGTGAGAAAAGTATGGCTATTACATTCTATTGATATTGTGTTGTCTTCGAAATTCAAAGTCAAATTTGCGCGATGCTTTTGTGAATTATCATCAACCGCTACGAAATTTTCATGAAGATTCACGGCAACTGAAACAACTACCTCTGTAACACACATGTCCCGATACCGACAACATTCAAACTCTTCCTCAGAATGACCAACGTGATGCGATTCATCATGATAATGCCTCATATCGATTTCACAAAAATCTGGATTCGATATGTTGTAGAAAATTCCATATATCATACATCCAGTATAAATCCTCTCGAATTCTAAACCATTTCGAGCAAAGTCATGACACCACCTTTCTCTTATTCCCTACTCAAGCTGAATACTGAAATGAGCAAAATGATGCTTGACTAGGAATGGCAGGAAATGTGCCTGAGGAGCTGGGACGTGGGTTGATCAGATGTTATTGAATGAACAGGGTTTTTTTTCTATTTTGAATGCGGCGTCACCTGATTTTGATAGTTGAAATAATTAGAGAAAACAAAGTTTTGTCAAAATTAGTCAGTTAATCTTCAAAGTTCATGGCCCACAAATCGATGAGGTTTTTCCTCAGAATAAGCCAGTAGAAGTACATGGCAGTAGAGATTCTGGGAATCATGTGACCCAGTAATGAAATTTAATTAGACTAGTGGGGGTACCCAAAGTATGCAGCTGCATGCGTTCACATATTTGACCTACTATCATCACATCTAGAGTATATTGTTCTATGAGAACTGTCATGAAATTGTTCTCATCTGTCATTCGGTTGCTCCCTCACCAGCAATTTCCAGAAGTCTTCATGGGACTTGTGCGAGCAAGAAATGCCGTGGGCCTCACGTTCAAACGTGCGGTCCCAAACACTTCGTTGGGCCTTCAGAAAATTTTCTTTAATCGTTGGATTCGGACCCACAAACTAGCAATCCATCGTGAATAGAATACTGACGCTTTTATCACGTAGGTACCTGGCCATATGATTCATGACTTTTAATTGTACCTGGTTCATGCAATATTGAATTCCATCTGAGTGAGTTCAGTCACAGAACACTATATTCCCCAACTAACCCAACTTGATCCAAGGAGGAAACTATGAATTTTCATGTGATGAGCTAATGAGTGAGTGAATCATTATGACTCAAGTGAACAATATCATGGACTCAAAATAATAAAAATGTTGGAACAAGCTCACCAGCTTCCGGCGCTACATATAACGCAGGAATGGCCCTCAGTCCTAGAGCAGTTCAACATCTCCAAAGGGTGGACCGTGTAACAGGGCCCCTTGTTGAGAATGTTGAGGTCTACCAGCAACTCGTGTCGGAAAGAGGTCATCCAGAGCGTGAGCCTGATACTTCACGCCGAAGAACAGTTGCTTCTGTACAAAACCATGACCTTAGCGAATAGGAGTGCCGGAGGCTTGCCAGCTAAATTCGCCAAAGTGAAGGTATCAGATGTGCGCCAGTTGAAGGTGTAAGATAGGTACCAAGGGTCACACCAAGGGCCTCTCCAACGAAAAGTGGCTTGATTGAGAATCACGCGGTAGCTCGTGGAAGCCAACACATTTGAAATTATGAATGGATCTGTATCACGCCTTTCATTATGGAAACTGAGCCAGTTGAATGTGTCAGATGAGTGCCAGGTGATGGTGCAAAGGGATGAACCAAGGGTCTAGCCAACGACAGGTGGCTCGATTGGGGACCACGCGGTAACTCGAGGAAGCCTCCACGAGGAAAAGTGGCGATATATAAATGTTTCGCCACGGTAGAAACCAAATGGCTTGTCTCTCGACCATGATGGCGTAGCGGATATCAAACCAAAAGGATGCACACTTCCACAAATTTTTGGGAGCTAGGAACAGGAACCGAAACGAATCCGGAAAAACTACATCCATAACCTGCTCTGCACTTTGCGCATCGACGTTACAAGAGAGAATTGCTGAAGTGCAGGAACACAACTCGATCACACTTAGGTACCGGTTTTGAATTTGACCAATTGAACAGAAGTTTTGACCCACGTGATAGTGATGACAATTGACGATCCATGACACATGGACATGTACTAGTCGGTACATAACATGTGAAGAAGAAGACTGGACGTGACTAAAGACATTGACATGAAACATTTCGATTCTTGAAATCATCAGAATGACAGGCAGAGAAATGAATAAAAAATCTAGGAAGACTAGGTAGAGAAGGGTAGGAATTTTTGTGAATTATAAGTTCTTGTGAAAACTACCTCAAGCATTGAATTCCATTTAATCCATGATATTATGATTTGCTGCTTGACCTAACTAAATTTATCCTTAAGCAATTGATCCTTTTGTGATATTATTTACTGAACATATTTTGTCAAAGATCAGTCGTGTTCTTGATCTTGTCGGTTATTTGATGCTTGTCACTTTGTCCGCAACACTTACAATCAAACATTTGTGGATCAGGGGGGTTCGATGTGTCAATAATTCTCCAGACTGTGTTTCATCAGTTTGGGAAATTCAATAAAATCAGTTACCTGGTCCTTCTCAATCGATAATTTCATGTGTTGATATTAGCAAACTTCACGTTCGATGCAATAACACGTCTTTTGTGATGGTTCAGATAACGACTACGTTACATGCATTCGTGTGACGTTACAGGAAAATCACTGCGTTTCTGTCTTTCTGCTGTGTGCCAAATCTAGAACACAATCCCTAAAATATTTATCAACTACGCAAATTGAGCTATCTGCCGTTTATTCATTATCTCACTCAGTAGCTTTCGTTTTGGAAACATATTGAAAAAAAAAAACAGCTTTGATAAACTCCTTGCTTGAGAATATTTGTCCATAGTGCTGTGTTGGGTCAAATCTGATCCCAATAACTATACAACACTCGATGATGATCGTATATCGCCCATATCGAGCAAAAATATCGCCCTCTTTCTGGCTCCACATATCATCAAAGGATAACCTTGCTGATTACCTCGCGCCAAGGTCTATTAACTTCTATAAGGTTGCCTCATAGTGAAGCATTAGGGTGCGGGGTTGCGCGAAGGGGAAAACGATCTGTGACGTCACTGTTTACCCACCGTGTGATTATAGATTTAGTTCTGTGTCAGTGTCAGATGGTTTCAAAGAATTTTTGAATTTGAACTCGAAGATTATCGAATTTTAGACTTCAGTTGAAAACGTGGTGACAAAGAAACTGAAGATACCTTCGGAAGAGGGTGAGGGTCTGTATGATGATATGGTGTATTTATTCACAGCCTCCATAGATTATTCTATGGAGCTGGTCACAGCATAATACACTCCCCGACAATAAATTCCGGACAGTGAAATTTCAAGCAAAATTTTTCGCCCTGTAACTTTCATAATCCTCTTCCGATTTCGATGAAATTTTGATCAAAGCGCAAAATCAGCCTGATATTTCGTTTCGAAAAACATCTATTGTCCTTATCATTATACACGAAAAAACAAAAGTAACTTTTTCACCCTCAACTTCTCAACGCCCTGTGACAGAAGTGAGCAATTAAAATCAGTTTCATTATATTTGGTATCGAAGTGTGATTCCTCCTTAACAAAATGGTTCATAAATCACGTCGATATCTCTACTTGAAGAGAAGATGCAAATGTTTCAAGAAAATATGGCATTTTTCATATTCATCAACAATTATTCAGAACTAACAAAAACATTTACAACTTAAAATGAAAAACAAACAACTAAAAATCAATATTGCGTATTGCCACCGCGTTCTCTTAGTACTTCCTATATGCGACGAGGCATACTCTCAATGAAAAAGAAGAAGAAGAAGAAAGTCTTTATTGTACTAAAAACCTACAGTTTTTGTTGACAAAGCATGTGTATCATAAGCTATAACTAATATTAAAACTACATAAAATCATGTAAAATATGCACATATATAAGGAACATATACTAGTATAAAAAAAACTATTGAACAATTAAAATCGAATTATACAAACTGACAAACTTAATTAAATGCGTCTTCATAAAATTCTTGCGAGGTATAATAGGCTTTGGTCAGTAGTAGCTCTTTTACTGCCTTTCTAAACTCGATATTTGTTAGCAATGAACGAATATGTGAAGGCAGGTGATTAAACATTTTTTTGTCATTATAAATAAAAGAATTTTTTATTAATGTACTTCTAGGAATTATTAGGGAAACCGTACAGTCAACATTTCTTGTGTTGTATACCGACATCGAATGGATGTTCGTGGTATATTTTTTGTGGATCATACATACACTCTCTAGAATGAAGATGCAAGTCAATGTCAGTATTTTCTGAGCCACAAATAAGGGTTGACATGGTTCTCTGAATTTAGCTTTACTAAGGTATCTAACCGCCCTCTTTTGTAAACTGAACACAGAGTTCAAAAGAAATTGAGAACTATTTCCCCAAAAACAAACTCCATATCTCAAAATTTAGTCAATCAGGGCAAAATAAACTGATCTTGCTGCAGATATATTCAATTCAGATGAGATGACTCTTACTGCAAAACAACCAGAAGATAATTTTTTGCATAAGTTTGTAATGTGGGTGTTGAATGAGAGACTGTCATCCACATAGAGCCCTAAAAACTCAGCCGAGGATTGAGTACAAATTCTTGAGTTTTCCAGAAGTATATCATTAAGAGTGCACTTGAACGTCAGAATACATGTTTTTGAAATATTGAATGATAATTTATTCGCATCACACCAATTTTTCACTTCCAATATATCTTCAGCGACATAGTTACTCAGTTCGTCATCATTGTTGCATGCAGTTGTCGATGGCCTCTTGCGGAATATTTTCCCATTCTTCTAGGGCTAGGGCTGTCCGTGAATCCGGTAATGTTTCTGGGTGGCGATTGCGAACACGTCTACCTAGCATGTCCCAAACGTGTTCAATAGCATTCAGGTCGGGACTACGCGAGGGCCACTCTAATCGCCGAATATTTACCTCGTCCAAGTATTCTATCACGATTCGCGCAACATGGGGCCTGGCATCATCTTGCATCGAAATGAAGTTTTGCCCAACAAATCCGGCAAAGGGTGCCACATGTTCAGCTGAATATAGTCGGATGTAACGATCATCAGTTAAAGAACCATTTTCTATGAGCACCAGGTTCGTACGAGCACTTAATGATACTCCATTCCATACCATGATATTATCGCCTCCAAATGGTTTCCTTGGAGATATGCAACACTGAGCAAATCGTTCACCCGGCCTCCTCCAGACACATTCACGTCCGTCAGGGGAGCGCAAACAAAAACGCAATTCATCCGTGAATAACACATCCGTCCAGTCTTGGGCTCTCGCCCTGTGCGATGTGCAGGAAGTAACAAAATACATGCAGCGAGTCTTCTGGACATTAATCCTCTTTCTTTCAATCTACGTTGAATGGTTCGTGCAGAAACTATTGTACCTCTTACATCTTGTATTCTATGACTCATAACTGAAGATGGTGTGCCACGATCTCGTAATGCTGTTAGATTGATGAGATGGTCCTCACATTGATTGGTAACACGTGGTCTACCTGATCCCCTACGTCGTATGTACTCACCAGTCTGACGTAACCCACTAATCGCATCTTGTACAGTACTTTTTACTGTGCCTAAGTATTCTGCAATATACCGTATACTACGACCATCATCATTCAAGGCAACAGCACGTGCAATACCCTCGGGTCTCATTTTCAACACACGAAAAAAAAACAGCTTTTCATGGTATGGCAGAATACTGACACTTTGTTGAACAATACTTTCAATGTTACTACGCAACCAAACACCAGTGTGATGAATGAGTTCACGTAGGTTGTGGAATATTGTTGAATAAAATTCGAAAATGCCATACTATCTTGAAATTTCTGTATCTTCTCTTTAAGAGGAGATATTTAATCGATTTAATCTCAGACATTTTTATACTTTTCGACTGACATGTCCTATTTCATGTATATGAACACAAAGGATAAATAAATAATATTCTATTCTATTCTATTCTATTGACGTAAATCAAAGAACAGATGTATTTAGATGGAATCACACTTCAATACTGAACATAATGGAACGGATTTTAATTGTTCACTTTTGCCACAGGGCGTTCAGAAGTTGAGGGTAAAAAAGTTACTTTTGATTTCTCCTGTATAATGATTAGGACAATAGATGTTTTGCGAAACTAAATATCAGACTGGTTTTGTGGAACATAATTCTACGCATTGATCAAAATTTCATCGAAATCGGAAGAGGATTACGAAAGTTACAGGGCGAACAATTTTGCTATAAATTTCACTGTCCGGAATTTATTGTCGGGGAGTGTATATTATGTGTGATGTCAAGAATGGATATAAAAAGAACAAATGTTATTAAAAGCCTGTATACAATCATCTGCTCTTGGGCAGCTTCCACATGAGATCCGAATAATTTCAGAGGAAAATGATGAGCTGTGGAGATGTTAATGTTCCTGTGAAGCAGAGGCTTGTCAGGGTTTTGTTTACACATTTTATAGGGACTCATTTTGACAGGTAGGTAGGTGCACTTTCGATCTATCACACACAGGTAACCAATGAATGGAATTTCAGAAATGGAGTCTAGGAATATGTAAAGCAACATATATTACACACACATCTAGAAGTGGTGAAAATAAAAGAAGGAGTGGACGGATCAAAGATCTATTATACAGCAAAACCATATCAAGAGTTCTGCCATCCACTTATTAAAAAAAAGGAAAGTGACCCCCCAACACAAATGAAAGGCACAGTAACATACAGGATCAAGTAGTGCAGAAGAAAGTCAATCAGAAAATCATTCTCCTCAAGTTCGTTTTACAGGTATATCAGTGTCTTCCGTTTCTTGTTTGGAAGCACAACTGCTTCACTTCGATCTTTACATATTTTCTGTTTATTTTAAATCCACATCAACATATATATTCGTTGAGGAATCGAGAAAAATACATTAGACAGCAAATTCCTCCGAGAATTACTTGGGAATATGAATTGAAACATTCAAAGATTTAAACCATGTTGCAAAGCTGTTTTGGAATTTCTTCAGAAAAGGGATGCATTGAAGAAATGGTTATCCACTATCCTCAGGGGGCTTAATTGCATGATACTCACAATGATTTTCAATTATTGCAGGCCACACTTTCTATTTCATATCTATATGTAGAAACGACTCTTGGGAAAAAAGCAGTCGATTTTTTTTATTCCAAAGAATTTTACAAATAAATTTATTCAGCAAAATATGAATCCAAAGCTCCTTCGAACTGTTTACTGAGAACAATGTTGAATTTCAAATCATGCGACCAAATTTATGTCTCAATATTTTTCATGGTTAGGATTTTCCCAATATGGAATTATTTTTCAGGATGGAAGACCATGGAGATAATTGAAGAATAGTGTTCTTACTGAGGTCCTCACATAGAGGTTTGTCAAATGATATGTATAACATTCAGCTCGAATTATTTTCTAAAATTTTCAGGTAAAGAAAATGGTTCAGAACATTTTGTGAAGCAATGCCATTTCTTGATAGAAGATGTTATGAAAAATGTAAAGTTGAGAGAGAGACATACTCATGAATTCCTATATGAAGAGTTATTGTTTCCATGTCTCATGATGGAATACAAACAATAATAGAGGCAGTATTCACATGAATACTAGAAAAATATACAAGCGTGGCGGATATATCATTTTCCACTTGCAAGTTCCAACTAACTTGGTGAAAATCGAGATGGAAATAGGCATATTACAATAATGCCTTCCTCGGAATTCCTAACGAGAATTCATTACTCCCAAGGTTGCAAATCCAACTTATAACCAAACAGAAACCAGTTCCTTTGTTTTTTTGGGGGCTCATATATGAGAAAAATAATTTAGTCATATTCGGAATCCCTCAAGAACATGACCTTACATCTGCCATTGAAAATATTGCGAAGGATACGTTAGAAGTAGACTTAGAAGATGCAGACATGAATGATTTATATAGAATTGGGATAGGAAGTCCAAACAAACAACGCGCTGTCATTCTCGAACTAGTTAGATACGTGGAAAAATCGGAATTGTTCAAGAATGAAAGAAAGTTGAAGAACAGCGAAATAAGTATAACACACGACTTAGGAAAAAAAGAAAGAGAAGAACAAAAGTTGCTAGTGAAACATCTCAATCAAGCAAAAAGAAAGCAATACCAGGCTAAGATAATACGGAATAAACTAGTAGTAGATGGTGAAGAATATACCTATGAGCAGCTGACAGTAATAGAAGAAGATGAAGCGATGGGAGAGTGCGAAGTACTGGAGGATAAAGTAATAACAATAAAGAGTCAAAGTGTGCCAAATACTCCCTCAAATAGTATGCCAACAAATAAAATCATGGAGGAGAAGGAAATCAACAAAGGAGGGAATATCAGTTCTCCCGCAACCAACAATAAAATACCATATACATACTTTCAGATCGCTGAAACGAGGACCCAGTGAATGTGCTATCCGTCCGTCCTCCATCAAACAAATTAATTGGTATCAATGTAAAGATACTATTTTTTGTATCTAATCAGATAACCTTCATCTACTGCTCATTTGTGTGTATTGTATTGTATTGTATTGTGTATATATTTTCAAACTATATAATACATTTCTTAATCATTTCATTTAAATTCATACCTATTAGCGAGAGTTTAATTACTGAGATGGAAGAGTTACTTAATCAGAAGAAGACCAGGTACTTAAATAATAATTCAATTATAGGTCATCTGAATGTACGTTCCTTGAATACTGGCATTGATGAGTTTTCAAATTATGTGTTCGATCATAACCTAACGTTGCTTGGTGTCACTGAAACCTGGTTAGTACCAACCGACTGTAATCAATATAATGACATACCTGGTTATGATTTGGTGAGGAATGATTGACTGGGTAGAAACCCGGCATTGCTGAATTTGTAATAATGACCTCTACTTGCATATGGAATGGTATACTGGGTTTTTCTATTCAAATAAGGAAGTTGAGGTGCACTTCGGTGTGACCCTGTATAATCAGGATTCATTCAATAGCATATTTCGAGTGAGCATCATAAAATATACTGGGTGACCAAATTTCAAGTCAACCGATTGCGCGGTTGGTTTTTTACAGGGAGGGACATTTCAGCTGGGACACGGTGTATATATATGTTTTACTAGCAATTAGAAACATTTTTTTCTGCAGTTGCAGTGAAAACATTGTCAAATTTGGGGATCTCGATACCAACATGTTGAATATCGGATGCTATCGTAAAAGTTCGCTTGAACACATCTTCGACATCCATGACCTGAAGCGAATAGTTGATGCGCCAACAAAATTTGATATTTCCAGAGAGTCAACACTTATGGATTCAATAATAACGACATCTAACTTTGATATGATATTTCCAGCCTTACAGAATGAAATAAACTCATCAGCTCGTCACTTATAGAGATTTCAGGGATTTGAATATAAACGATTTGGGAAGCAACTATCAGAACATGAATTTAAACGAAGTAATTGATTTTTCTACCTTTGATAGTAAAATTGATGCATTCAATTCCTTTATTATTCACCGTCTAAACACACATGCTCCAATGAAAGCACGAAAAATTGTTCTGGAGCTCATCACTCCATGAATTATACATATAGTCATTCCTTGCTCGCACAAGACTTTCTGAGGGTTGCTCGTAAGAGGGCAACCGAATGACGGATAGAACAATTTTAGAACAATTTTTAGATGTCATTGAAATAATGATGAATCATCCAAGCCCACCATATCTATGCTCGGTTTCTCCATCAGCAACATTCTTTCATGGGATAATCATGTCAGATCCATCGCGAAAGCTGCTTCACAAAAACTCGGATTCTTATTCCATGCGAAAAGCTACTTTACACTTCAACAGCTCCTCATGATCTACAAAGCGCAGATACGGTCTGTTTTAGAAAACTATTTCCACATATGGGGTTCAGCATCAAAACATTCGCTGATGCTCTCAGATTCCATCCAGAGAAGAGCCATCCGCCTGGTGGGTGACGCTACACTCACTCACTCTTTGACATCATTGGAACACCGTAGATAGGTCGCCGACCTTTCACTTTTCTATCGATATTTCCACAGGAAATGTTCTTCGGAAATTTTTGCTATCATCCCTTCACTAGCAATACCAGTCAGACGAACTAGACAAGCTAAGTCAGCACATCCTTCCGTTGTCAACTTCGAAAGATGTCGAACAGCACTTCATCAAACCTCCTCCATCCATAGAAAGGCTAGGCTCTGGAATTCATTGCCTGAGGAAGTTTTCCCAACAACATTTGATTTCCAGAAAATCAAAAAAAAATTCCGATACCTACCAGAATCAGAATCAGAATCGGAATATTCTTTATTTTCAGAAGAAAAAGCTCTTGAAGACAAAGAGGAGATAAAACATAAGTACGTAATATACAATCATAGAAAGTTAAAACAATGTGAAAGATAAAATATGACATCCCTATAATATTCCTTCAATACATAGTAAGCCTTTTCAGCAAATAACTGTTTGAGACTCTTCCTGAATATTTTATGATCTTCAATGTCCTTTACGTAGGTAGGTAGGTAGGTAGGTGGTTATACATCTTCAGTCCATTATATTAAACCGAGTCTTTGATCAGGGTAGTCGATGGTAAAGGTAATTTCAGATGATTTTGTTGCCGAGTTATATGTTCTGTTGAATTATTTTCTAATTTTGTTCCATTTTCATGAATTAGGCTGACTGATTCTACAATGAAAAGTGGAGTGAGAGTGAGAATACCTTGACGTGTAAACAAAGGCTGACAAGATTCTCTAAATTTTGCTTCACACAGGTACCTAACGGCTCTTTTCTGTAGAGTGAAAATTACTTTAAAAAGTGTTTTTCTACAGACTCCCCAGACGGCAATGCCATAGCTTAGATGGGATTCTATAAGGGCATAATAAGCTGACTTGGTAGCAGTTTATCCCAAATTGTTGGAAATGATTCGCATGGCATAGCATCCCGAAGCCAACTTTTTACTGAGACTTGAGATGTGGGTATCGAATTTCAATGTGGCATCAATCTGTAGTCCAAGAAATTTTGTATTCTCTTCACTCTCTATGGTATCATTGCCTAGTAGCAGCGCAGGCAGATTGCAACGGAAGCATAGTATATTTGTTTCAGAGATATTTAATGACAGTGAATTTGAATCAAACCATTCTTTAATGCGGTCAACATCTCTAGAAATGGTTTGAAATAGTTTAGCCTCATTCTTGTCATGCCATTGAATGGTAGTATCGTCGGCAAATAGAGTGAAACTACCTGATATATTCAAATTGGCCATGTCATTGATGTATAATAAGAAAAGCACAGTTTCAAGTACCGAACCTTGAGGTACACCACAGCTAATGGAATGAAGTTGCGAGTAATGGTTTGTTTTGACAATCTGATAACGATTTGATAGGTATGACTCAAACCATTTCAAAGTAGTACCTCTGAAGCCCTATGCTTTCAGCTTTTGCAAGAGTATTCTGTGATTCACGCAGTCGAATGCCTTCGACAAATCACAAAACACTGCTGCTACAAATCCCTATCCTCTCTAGGAACGCACGATGTTATTTGAACATTATAGGGATTTCCTTTCGTGCGCTTCAAGCGATAAGAAAATCGTGATGGAGCGAAACAAAAATTTCGAAAGGTTCGAACAAATCCTAGTATAGAATTCTACAAGGAGTTGATGAATCTCACAAATTCTTCATTAAAACGCGGAAAAAAGGTCTATCTTGAATTCATCCCCAGACCCGAGGATCATGGTTCTTCTTGTCAAAACAGTAGTAATTCGAAACTGTCTAAAAACAAAAACAATAACGTTACAGAGGAATTAATTGATCCCGATGCACTCAATTCACATTTTTCAGATGAGCCTCACGATAATCCAGACATGTTGAATTTTTATAACTCTGATAGACAAAGACAACAGATAATACCTCATATTTGCGAAATCAAAACATCAGCAGGAGGTTTGGATGGATATTCTATGAAAGCAATAAAATATTGTTTACCATATTGTATGAAGGCCCTGGAACATATTATAAATTATTCAATAGAAACGAAGAAATTCCCCATGATATGGAAGCGTGCAAAAAAATCAAACCACCAAAGTTGATAATCTTACTGTTCTGAGTGAATCTCGAGCGATAAGCATTCTACCAATGGCACCCAAGATCATTAAAAGACACATCCATACCCTAGTGACATCGTCCCTTACTTTTGATAATCTTGAAAATAGTCATCAGTTAGGCTCTAGAACAAACCATAGCACTAGCACAGCCCTGGTCAGCATAACTGACCAAATCGAAGAAGGTATAGATCAACGAAAAGTAACATGTATGGTTTTGTTGGACTTTTCTAAAACATTCGACACGATTGATCATGATATTCTCTTATCAAAAATTCAGTTCTTAGGATTTTCTCATGGTAGTATGGAATGGTTCCGCAGTTTTTTATCTGACCGATATCAAAGTGTGTCGGTTCTCAAAAATAATAAATTTTCGACATCCTCTTTGGAGAAAGTTACATGTGGAGTACCGCATGGTACTATACTAGGCCCCCTTCTTTGTTCATTGTATGTCTCCAAAATGTCTCACTACAACTATCTGCAGGCTGCAGAACGAATACAAGCGGATCTCGATCCCATAAAAAAATTCGGATACAGAAATAATCGCAATTCTCTGAATTCTGTCAACTCCTCTGTGAGGTTTCACAAACGTGGAAATTCCAATTGTAACAGAAGCGAACAACTTAGGTATATATTTTGACAGTGGACTGAGTTTTGACAAACACATATCAAAGAAGAGACGTATCGCTTATATGCGATTCAAAGAAATGTACGCTCATAAGGATAGTATTGACCCAAATACAAAATGCCGACTGTGAAATACATTGATTATTCCAATTTTCGATTATGATGATATAGTATATCATCACAGTATAAGAGCCGATACTGCAGCTGAAATTCAGCAGGTGCAAAACTCATGCTTGAGATCTTTTTTTTATATAAGGTACCGCGAACACATAAGTCCTTATCTGAACGACAAAATTATTCTAAATATGTGCAATTCGACGCATGCTACATTATTATACATTTCTTTTTGATATCATTCAATATAAGGATCCGAAATATTCACCATATACCAGTTCACCTTACATATCATAACACCTCCAGTTGTGTTTCTGCCCGACTTTGAAATGACTCGAAAGAAGAAATGAAGTCAGTATCCCTCAATAGGTTCAAGATGGAAATCAAAGAAATTCTTCAGCAAGATCAGCTAAGACACTCAATAATTTTCTCCCCTCTTCCTCTATTTTCCATCCTATAACTTTTTTGTTGTATTCAACATATTCATAATCATTTCATCTTGTATCATGTTCATCATAAAGTGTTTCAGTAGTCTAGTATTTTTGTATTTCAGTCTAATTGCAAATAGTTTC